AGAGTGTTTGCAAATTTGTGGAACAAAATGATATAATTTAGTAATTTTCTGTGAAATAATAATGATGTTCTAATTGAAAAATGTACTGTGATATAATTATCTTACATCTTTATAAGCCTGCCTCAGGAGTGCAGTAAAAGAACAAATGGGAATGTTTTTACCGTACCATGTGAGAAAAAGCTCTCAAAGTTTTATTTGTATGACCTGATGCACGTTCGAGAGATGGAAGCCTCATAATAGCAAAATGGTTTCCTGGTTTGGTCTGGTAACCTCTTGGGGCAGGATCCAAAGGAAGCTTTAGCCACATAAATCAGAGACAGGCTTAAAGGTGGGACTCACGCATACACACGGGTGCCCCGTGCGCTGGTATGCATTGGGATATCTCCTCCAGCTTCCACCTGCAGCTCCCAAAGGACGTAGGTCTCCTATGTGATATCTTCTGCCAGACCACCTGCAGATAAGTTATGTATTCCTGAGTGTCTAAAATAGCACTGGATGCTTCTGTTTAGGCACCTGGGTTGCTTCCTCCATGTCAGAGTCAAATTTGTTTTCCTAAGGAGTTTTCCAGCTGAATCTGGAAGGGCAGGAGGGAAGAAGAAACGACTCCTTGTGTCTCCCTGCCCTGGTTTGCTGCTCTGGGTTGCTGCTCCTCCTCTGCCATGTTTTCAAGGGCAAGTCTTCTTTTGCAAAGAAACCAGTCTGTAATTGCTGTGCAGGGCAGTCTGCCCCCAGGACAGGCTCAGGCTCTGGATCCACAAGGCAGGACAGGACACGATCACCTGTGGTTTCCCTGTGGGTTAGCTCTAGGAGATCCCATTTCTGCACACAGGTTTCTGGGACTGTCCTGTCAGTCATCTCTGTGCCTGCTACAGCAGCACATTAGCTCTGGCTCTTTGACTGCGCTGCAACACCGGCACTATGTAAGCACCTATGTGCCCTGTGTGGCCCTCTGGCTGGTTTTGGGAAGATATCCTAGTGTACAATCTGAAAGCTGCCTCATCCTCATGTTGCTAACAGTAACACTAGGCAGAGTGAAAGCCCATATGGCTTCCTACCACCTGCAGCAGTGCAAGTGCCGGGTCGAGCAGGACTACATCAGAGCCCGTGCAGTGCAGTGGGACACTGGGTATGTGCACAACTTACCTAGACTACAGAGAACCTCATCTAAAATATTAGTAATATGTTCCAGACTAATGAACATGACAAAATTAGCTAAGTAGAAGCAACAACACCTTCATTTCAAAGAAGAGACAGTGTATTTGAGGTTGTTAATGGGCTGGCAGACATTGCTGGAGCTTACAGGGATGGCTGGAACTGAACTGCTGTTGCCCTATAGCTTTCAACTGCAATCCCAGGGAGCAGAAACTCAGCACGTCCTATTTACTGACATTTCTGCTGTGAATGAAGAGGAACTGCCAACCCAGGAGCCCCACAGAAAGTGCAGGGAGAGCAGAGCCCATGTCAGGAACCCCTTTGGTGGAGGAGAAATGGCTGCTGCTTCAGCAGCTGCTCTGAAACTCAAGTAATAACAGGCTCCTGGCAATTAGTTTTTGGCAGATTTACTCACCTAATTTTTCTGGCCTTCTAGGTACATGGTGTGGTACCACTAACCCTCCCAAGATGAGACAGCCCAGCTGGGAGTGCACACCACTTGTTGTTGGGATCCTTCTGACACTGAGCAGGGACAAACTGGTGGGCCCAGGAGCTCCATGAGAGTGAAGCTGTAGATGGCTGCCTTCCTCCTTTCCCCCCGCTGACCTCTCTGGGAAGCTCCAGCTGTGGGACGAAGGTTCAGGAGTCAGGAGGCAGCGTGAGGAGGAAACAGCAGAACCAAAATTCTCCTGTATTCACCCAAAGTCCCCCAGCAGGTCCCCCCCCCAGCTTGCCATCCATGAGAGCTCATCCCAGTTGCTGTGAAGGAGCCGTACACCCTCTGACCTGTTCAGTGATTGTGGAGGTGGGGAGAGGCAGGAGTTGGCCAGATGTCACTAGAAGACGCCTTGGCCATACCCAAAACACTGGGGAAGAGGACAGGGCCCTGCCAGCACCCAGCTTAGCTTGAGGAGGGAGGAAGGCTGGGACGAGGAGGGTCTATGCCTCCAGCACAGCAAAGGTGTGATGGCGGTGTCACACGCTGGTGGGTGCAGGAGCTCGAGGGGCAGCGTGTTTGCCAGGGTGCATGGGAGGACTTGCAGCTTGGGCTGTCTGTCCATCCTGTCACCATGCCCTGGAGCCATCACACAGGCATGGGGTGCTCCCTGCTTTCTCGTTCCTCACACAGAGCAGATACATATTGCCATTAGCTGCATTGCATCTGCAAAGGCCCCTGGAGCCTTTCCTGACTACAGCAAAGGATAGGCAGGATCATAATATATTCATAATCAAGAGTTTTTTATTTATAAGGCAACCTGCTCCCTGCTATGGAGCTGGAGGGACTCTGCAATAAGTCATAACAAATCTAACGAAACAGTATAAATAAGTAACCAGCTTTAATCCTAGCTGTAGAAATATTAGGTAGATTAGTGAATGGAAAATTAGATTTCTGTTTTCTCTTCATTATTCAAGTTTAGGGTGATTCTGGAAGCTCTAAATTTTTGGGGGGGGAGTCTGTGAAAGGGCAGAAGACATAGCCAGGGGTCAGAGAGACGAAAGTGCCTCAAGCACCAGAGGGAAAAGGGCAGAGGTGTCTGTCCTTCAGATTGGGACCTGCTGATGGGGGCTGGGGGGAGCAGAGCAGTGCCATAGGCAGGGCCTGGGACAGCCCCTCACCCCTCTCCAAACCAGCAGCACCTGACGTCACGGTGGGAAAGGACTTAGAGAAATCCCGGCCTTTGCCCTGCATGGCACAGGCTGACTTTCAGGTGCCACTGCAGTTCGTGCTGGCTGAGTCCTGGGCAGGGATTTCTTTTTTGCTCGTGGTAAACTTCTTCACTTGTGGTATAACATTGTTTCAAGCCAGCTATGGAATAGGCTTGGGTGGTGTCATCACTGACACCCATCGCTCCCCTCTCTGTTGGGCCACAGGGCGAGAGGCGGGGGGCCTGGCTGGGTCTCTGCCCAATCCATCAGTGACGAGCAGCGAACCAGAGCTGCCATTGCCAGCTGATGTCCTGCTCTCTCTACTGCACTTCCCACCAGCAGAAGCTCATCAAGAAGCTGCAGGCTGAGAAAGCCTTTTTGGGAGGAGATTCAGAGTTTTCGGGAGACAATGAAGAGCTTTTGGGAGAAGATCAAGGGCTTTCAGGAGAAAAATAGGAGATTTCAAGGTGGCCATCCAAGCTTTCTGGGAAGAGGAAAAGCCCATCTGGGAGGAGGAAGCTGCCTTTTGGGAGGAAGAAAAGGCTGTTCAGGAGGAAGCTGAAGCCTTCTGGAGGGTGTGTCATGACTTCTGGAAGGACTATAACGCTTTCTGGAAGAAGGATAAGGATTTCTGGAAAGATCAGCTCCTCTGGAAGAAAGACACCATCCTTCTGGGTGAGGACAGAGTCCTGTGGGCGGAAGAAGCAGCTCTGGCATCTATGGGCAGATGGAACAGCTCTCCTGGAAGAGGAGAGAGTTCTCTGGGAAGATGAGGAGGCCCTCCAGGAAGATGAAAAAAACTCAAGGAGTATGAAATGTTGATCTGGGAGGACGCCTTTGGTCCTGAGAGAGAGGATATCTCCAGGGATGCCGCTGTCCACAGGGGAAAAGCAGAAATTGTTCTGCTAGGCTCAGAAACATGTGGAAAGCTACGTATACTGATGTGGGTACTTTATCTAAGCAGTGCTGCACTTCAGCCAGTTCTCTGAAATAACATCTCTAGTTCTTGGAGTAAATCAGAGTAGGGTTTTTTTTTAATGTGATTTGATTTAAAGCCATTGCACTTATGTTTTCAGGACATTATTTGTTCTTCTGAGGTCCTGTAGCCTGAGGAACGGGGTAAACCTCTGGTTTCCTGGCCTGTCAGCAGGAGGTGTGTGGGTGGGTAAAGCCACAAGAAGGTGAGGGTTTAATGGCTGATATCATCTTCTGCAGCTCAGAACAGCTCACCTAACTCAGTGCAGTTTATATCAACTGAGTCAGTACCAAAATAAGGATAAATGATAACCTTGGGATCCCCCATATTTAAGAGTCACAGTTAACACTCCTGAGACAACTGGTGCTATTCCACCAGGTTTGGGCTTTGATTTCCCTTTTAACTTCCCGCTGCTCTCAGGAGCGTGATGGGAACATTTACGCGCTCGGGTGAGCCCCCTGCATCTGCTGGCTGGCTGAGAGCAGCTTTGGCATCAGCCTTGCTGACATGGGCAGAGGATGGGGAGAGAAGTGGGAGGGATTACAGAAGTCAGCAACATGTGCGAAAAGATGCAAGCCGGAGGGAAAGTTGGCAGCAAGTCCCTCAGCAAGGGGGAAATAAATTTAGCAGTGTGAGTATATATGTGTGTCTAAGAGCAGGAGAGTGTGCACACAGGGACTGGGATTATTATTGACCTGCTGAGCTCCTATTGCCAGTGCAGGCACAGGAGCCTCTAAGAGAAAATCATCCATAACTGCAGTGCAACATGTGGTCAATATTTAGCAATATTTTATGTGACGCAAGTACAGAGCCAGTGCCTTCTCCTGAGCTGTGGTGCAGGAATTGCAGTTTTTCTTTCCTCTTGAGGAACTGAACTCAGATGCTTCACGTTTTTGAAGGCTGAGCTGTAAAGGCTGGTCTAGAGGCAAATCTACAGTTGACCCTCTGTCCATCCATGAGAGTGGGGGCCAAGAACAACAGTGAAAAGTACTCATCTCAGTCAAACCAGGCATGGAATTTTTCTCTGGTATGGTAGCATTAGTAACTCATTCTCCTTCGAAAAGGGAGTTTAACACTGAAAAGGCTCAAGGACACAATGTAAGAAGCCTTTACAATTGCTGTTGAAGAATCTGATGACTTCTGCAACTGTCAGGTGTACTTAGGCTGTCACTCAAGCCTGTCACTCAAGTTCAGTCCTTTGTGATCTGCTGTAGGATAAGGCTGCCTATCCTGTTTAATTTTGCTCAAGACAAATTATGCACTATATCTTTCCTGAAAAATCCATGAATATTTATTGCTTAATGAATAACCAGCCCATAAAAGAAGCCAGCTGATTCAGCCAGGGTAGGAATATTTTGCAACCTTTGTTATTATTATTCTATTATTACCAGGTAAGCCAGTGATGAAAATGACCTATTAGACCATTCAGTGCAACTTCCTGCAAATTCAGGACTCTTACACATCAGAGCTGTGTCATTAGATGCTATAGAGAGAAAGAACCTTTCAGAAAATAACAGTACGCAAAAAGCACTTGTCACTTAATATATTTTAATGTCAAAAAGCCAAGAATTTATCTCAGTTATTCAAATCCACACGTCAAATTAACATCCATTTAAACTAAAATTAGGTATGCTTTCTCTTGCAAAGAACTTGAAGTGCATGAAATGCTCTTAGGAGAGCTCCTAGTCACTTATTCTTTCACAGGAGAGCTGAACATTGTTTATATCTGGTGAGAATGCTGTCAGTACAATACAACAGTTGTGAAATTTAAGGCATTACACAATGCAGCACAGAGAAGCCAGAAGTTTAGCCAGAGGAAAGCATGTACCAATATGGTTTTGGACTGCTCCCCTGAAAATACTCCATCCATCTGGTAGCTTCAGAGTGGCCCTTGCTTGGTGGCATTGCTGGAGAGAGACCGCATGCAAAAGGCTTACCAGGGCTGGGTATTCGAAGTGGGAAGATAGAGGACACCTGCTCTGCATCCAGCAGCTCTGGACTGAGGAGGAATTTCCGTCAGGAAGCCGATCTCTGCTAACTCACTGGAGTGGTAAAGTAACGAGGGGAACAAATAGCAGAACTACCCTAAGGAAAAGGTCGGTTATGTTTATCACCTCTGCAACATGCACATGGAGGCTTTCCAGATGTGAAATTCAGAGTGAAAAAAATACATAAATCCACCTCTCTTGGAAGAGCAAGTCCGCTGATCTGGCATAGGTTGGCTGTAGGGACAAGGAAAGAATTGGGCTTGTCTGAAGAACTGAAGGTGTTTGAAGCATGGACTCACCTAAAGTAGAGTGGAAGGACCTAAAGAAGCTGCCAAGCCCACCTGTGCCTCAAAAGCAGCCATACCTGTAATGCTCTGTGCAAACACTTCTCTAAGCTGCTTTGCTTGTTTAATTCCCAGCAGTAGTGTTGCACAACCATCACTTTCTCTCTAGGCCTTTACTTATATTAATTCTTTCGTGTTGTCTGAGGTGAATCTCCCTAATTGCAGTTTTGACTTCTTATCTGTAGTCCTATCCACAGTGGACATGGGGAACAGCCCTTCCAATTGCCGATTATTTATCTGTCTGAAGCCCGGTATTGTCTTCTCTACCCAAGTCTCCCTAGACTAACCCACCTGATCTCCTTCTGCCCTCCTTCACTGATGAAGTACTTTAGGTATCTGGAAGGGTTCTGTCCTCCCTTCTCACCTTCCCTCCAAAAGGCTGAAAAAATGAGATAATTTGCAGCATCCAGATACAATCCCTGAAGATGCCAAAAGTCCAGGTCACAGTGTTTGTTTTGCAGAAGAGGTTCATCCAGGAGTGACACAGCTGAGCCCTTCGGACACCGAACATGAGTGCCGAGCTGCACTGGTGCCAGTGGGTCCTTCTGCAGAGCAATGCCACCACAACGAGCTCTGTCCTGCGCCCCGGGGTGTCTCAGCCCCGTGTGAACAGAGAGCAAACCTGGGACTCGCTCAGTGGCACAGAGTCAGGCAGAACAGGCGCCAACGTAACTTTAGGCCATAATCAAACTTCCTGTGGTTGCTGTTCAAATAAAGAGGCATTAAAGATAAAAGGAGAACAATTAGCGTAATTTCAGAGTAAACACAGGGATAAAACCCAAATGCAGGGAAACACGGTGAACCCAAACGAGCATTGTATGTTGGTGGTGCAATTAATTTAAAGTCAATGAACTGTGTGCACTCAGGAAAGCTTTGAAGGCTTAGCAAGTCCTGCACAGAGCGATCTGACAACAGGACGCAGAAATTTGATGGACTGGCTGGGCTGCATGCCTGGAGATTGCCTGCTTTCTGGTGCAGGCAATGCAGTTCTTGCTTTCCTTCCCTGGACAAAAATATGGAAATACTATGGAAAAAATTACAGAAAATATATGACAGGGCAGAAGGGTCCCACTTTATCCACACTGAAAGGCAGCCTTGGCCTCAGTCACAAGCCAGTGAAGACGCTGGTAAATCTGCTGTTCGTATTTCTAGGTGATACTCAAGATTCTCTTCTTTCAAAGTTTCCTCTCAAGCAATTCACAGCAGACTATTTTCTGCTCAAGGCCACAACAAAGGTGGAAATTATGGACTGCAGGTTTGTACCTCTAAAAGCACAGACCTTCCCAAAGCCCAGAGTGTCTTTCAGAGGCATGACGACAACTCCTGCACAGGCCAATAAAGAGATTGAGTCATTAGTGCGAAATCAGCATAAATATTTGAATGGGAGAATGAAATAGCTCCTGAGCTCACCTGCACATTTTTAAAATGCAGCATTGCCATCAGAAAGCATTCCTGACGCAGCTGTGGAGCTAACTTGTGGGAGAGGCAGAACGTGGAAAATGGTAAAGTCATTTAAGTCAACTGACATGTCTACATGTGTTCATAAACCAGAACGGTAAGAGTGAAAAAGGAAAATTAAATTTATTCACTATACGTATGTGTATATATGTGTGTGTGTATATATAGCTATAATTTCCAACTCTGCGTGTCAGTCATTGCATAGGAGGAATGTAAAAAAGCTGGGAGGCAGGCCTGTGACTCATGGGAAATTGGAGGTATGGAGAGCATCCAACCACAAATATAAACCCTGCTGCTGTTCTGCCAGGAAGTCTGGCTGAATTGTTGAAAAGTCAGTGCAGAGGGTGCCGTGGAAATTGAAGGAGGAGATAGAATACTGTGGCTGAAAATATCAGATGGGGAAAAAATAACCACACTTTCACCCTTCAGAATTTAATATCTAATGTGGGTTAAAGAAGAGAGGAACCACAAAAACCCTGCAATTTAAAAACTATTATATAATGCTGAAAATCTCTCTGTTTCTCCCTTTGTCTCTCTGTCTCTCCCGTCTTGTCTTCTTTTTTTAATCTTCTTTTATTTATTGATTGAACTAGGAACATGATCTGCACAGAGGGAGGGAATTCCAGGTTCTTGACATTTGGAGGTTTTTAGGAAGGTTTTGGTCCTGATCCAGTGAATCGCTCTGTCTATGCTGTCCCTCAGAGTACTTGAAATGTTCCAAAGTCCCATCTAAATCCATATTTAGAAATAAAACTGGGATTCTGCTATTGCTGGATCACAGGCAGTATGAGAAATGGGCAAGGGGAGCGCTTACAAGTGGTGATGGATTTGAACACAAGCATACCTGCTTTGATAAGGTGGGCTTTTATCAAAATAAAAGACAATTCAGATTTGTACCTGGGATCTTTAGAAACCATGGTGGCAGCCCTGGAGCTGTAAAGATAAACACAGCTTATGTGTTGGATCTTCAGGCTTGCAACACATTATACATGACACAGAACCAGCAAGCAAGCACCCAGCTTCATAGAATCATAGAATCTAGGCTGGAAGAGACCT